AGTGGGATGATGGCTCATGGTGGGTTTAATTCGCATGGCCCTGATGCCTAATGATTTGGGCAGTATTTTCATGCACCGATTTGCTGTTTATTTGTACATCTTCGTTGTAAAGTTCCCATTCACATCATTTCCCCAATTTTTTCCAACCTTTGTTTTTAAATGTAACTGTGCCCATTTTCCACAGATCTTTTCCTGCTTTCCTTTGGACAACTGGAGAGATAAGAGGCCCATCTAAGAGACTGAACACAGGTCAGATACACACACACGGTCATGGTTGACCACATGCTGAAAGAACTAGTAATTTTGCATCTTTGCCAACCATAGTGATGGTGATGATGGTGATGATGGTGGTGATGATGATGGTGATGGTGGTGATGATGATGGTGATGAAGGTGATGATGGTGATGATGGTGATGATGGTGGTGGTGATGATGGTGATAATGGTGGTGATGATGATGGTGATGGTGATGGTGATGGTGATGATGATGGTGATGATGATGGTGGTGATGATGGTGATGGTGATGGTGATGATGATGGTGATGATGGTGATGGTGATGAAGGTGATGATGATGGTGATGATGGTGATGATGGTGATGATGATGGTGATGATGGTGATGGTGATGGTGATGATGGTGATGATGGTGGTGATGATGATGGTGATGATGGTGATGGTGGTGATGATGAAGGTGATGATGGTGATGGTGGTGATGGTGGTGATGGTGGTGGTGATGATGGTGATGAAGGTGATGATGATGATGGTGGTGGTAATGAAGGTGATGATGATGATGGTGATGATGGTGATGATGGTGATGGTGGTGGTGATGATGGTGATGAAGGTGATGATGATGATGGTGGTGATGGTGGTGGTGGAGGTGATGATGATGATGGTGGTGATGGTGGTGGTGGAGGTGATGGTGGTGACGATGATGGTGGTGATGGTGGTGACGATGATGGTGGTGATGATGATGATGGTGATGAAGGTGATGATGATGGTGGTGATGGTGATGAAGGTGATGATGATGATGATGGTCATGGTGATGATGGTGGTGATGATGATGGTGATGATGGTGATAAAGGTGATGATGATGATGGTGATGATGGTGATGGTGGTGGTGATGATGGTGATGATGGTGGTGATGATGGTGATGGTGCTGATACAGCCACACCCCTGGAAAGCTCACTGTGTCCTAGGCTTTGCACAGGCTCTTCTTACACAGATCCTCACCTTATCTTCATCTAAACCCTTTGAAGACAAGGAGTCTGCGGCCCCTCATCACACAGTGGAGACGGCCAGGCCGACCCCACCCATGTGCAGAGCCATCTCTAAAACACATCACAGCACTGGACCAACCAGACCAGCCATTCCTGTTTAACTGACATTGGAGCATTTCCAGAGTATTCCCTTGATTTGCTTTCCCTTTGTTCTTAAACGCAGTGGAAGCAGCAAGTGTGCCTTCCCAGCTGTGATTTGGTTGACTCCTCTCCACCACCCAGAGAAGTGACTTTCTTGGTATTTCCATCTTATAGAGGAGGAAACTCGTCCTCGCCATCGCCCTCCTCCTCCACCTTCCCAAAGTGCCAGGCCCTGGGCCGTGTGTGTGCAGCATACGGGCTGGGATTGACGGCTCTTCCTGCCATGCCCAGCCCGCCACAGCCAAGTAGACGTGGAGCAGGCAGAGTTCATAGGACCACTGCAAAGCCTTCTCCCTTCTCCCCTTATGCCTGCTCAACAGGAGCATTTGCTGGTTGAAACCTCAGGCACGCCCCGGGACTTCTCTGGTCATTTTTATATAATAAAAGACCCTACAGTCCCTCACGATTGTGGAAAACAATCCAGTCTGGTGTCAAGGATGTGCAGGTTCCTGCAAGAACTCAAGTGTCTCACCCACTCAGTGTTGTTCTCCCTCCCTGAGAATTCGTGGCTGAGCCCTAGGAGGCTCCTTGGAAGGAAGAGGGAAGGGAGAGGAAAGGTGCCCCTAGCTGGGCTCTGACCCCCCCCTGGCCTCCAGCAAAGGCTGACCATTCTCCTGATGCCTCTGAGGGTCTTCCGAGCCTGCCCCCCATTGCCCTGCACCTCCCTGGATCTGGGCAAAGTTTTCTTTTGGAAATCACTGTCTCTCTCTTCCGGCTGACTCTGCGTGCTCAGGCCTGTTTATCCTGCTGGGTGGCCGTACCAAGAGATCCAAGATCGAAGACCCCCCCTACCTGGCTCTCTCCCAGTGCCATAGTTCTCCCCAACGTCGGGGGTTGCAACCCAGGTCTGAGCCCCACCCACCACTTGGTCAAGCCCTGTGTTTCTGCCAAATTCTCACCAGTCTGCTCTGCTCTGTGGTCAAGAACCTGCCCCCAGGTTCCCAGTGACTGAGGGAGGCTATAGACAAATTGGCTCCTCCTTGCCTGGCCAGGAGCAGAGGTGCCCACCTATGCACCCCTGGGAATTCCTACCTGCAGAGCGGGATTTCATAATCTAAGGTGATGCCGGAAAGCTCAACCCAGGTGTTTGGGAGAGCGGCCGCCCCATTCAGAGTCCCCCATTATGTCTGGGGGCCAACCTGTCTCCAAGTCTCCTCCTGTCCCCTCGGCTGTCCTGCAGGTGCCCAGGGGCCCCTGAGCCACAGAGGAGCCTGACACTGGCCTCCACGGGCTCATCCTCAGTAGGCACGTTGTATTTCTTGAAATCAACCCGAGCTAGAAGATTGTTTGACAGAGAAAGGCCACTTTCTCCTGCTTCTCCAGTCTAGCCTCCCAGACAGGGCAAGGTCACAGTCACTCCTGTGCCACAGGCCAGGCCCCGGCTCCCTCCTCGCGGGGACGCTTGGACCTGAGCCTGTGTCTCCGAGGATTTTCATGTCTGTCTTTACTCTTCTTCTAGATGCTTTTCTGTTTTTACTTTCGTGACAGCATTCCTGAGATACAACGTGCAACCACACACTTCACCCCGTGGGAGGGTAAGATTCGATGGTTCGGGCACATTTCCTGCAACCCACCATCACCACGGTCAACTTTAGGACATTTTCGTCACCTTACGGAGGATGCTTATTTTGTTTTATCTCGTGGTATTCCTTTATGCCTAAAATCGGAGCGCACGGATGGTGGGCAGTGGCTAGGGTCTGCGAGCCAGGTGGGGCAAGGAGGCGTGGGGAGGGGAGAACAGCATGCTGTCCTCCCTTCCGAGCTCGTCAGCTTTGCCACGTCAGCTCCTGTTCCTGCTAAGACGGAGACAGCCAGACCACCACGTTAATCTGGGGTGGGAGGAGTCTGGAGCCAGCAGCCGAGGGTGGGCCCCCCCCCCCGCCTCGAAAAGGTTCTCCCAGCCCTGTCCTAGGGCATCACCGCTACAGAGGATGATCCATCACTTTTTGCACAGGGGAGCCCAACTTGTCAAGGGTCCAAGTGCTGAAACATCCACGAGTACCGTTAAGGGACCTAACGGGGATTACAGACGAACAGTTTTTAAAGAGAACTATGGCTAGAAATTATTAAGGGCCAGCTCCCTAGCAGGTGCTGAGCCAGTCCGCTTATGCGTACTCCCTGAGTTAATTCTCACGGAGACCCCGCCAGGGAAGCACTAACAGGCTCTCCTCTGACAAAGGAGCCTACTGGTCTGTTCACGCAGCTGTCCCAGCCACAGAGCGAATGCGCACCAGAGCCCAGACTGGACGCCAGGCAGCTCGGCTGGGCATCCGCGCCCCAGCATAAGAACCCATAGGCTCCCAGCAGACCCAGCTCCACGCGTCCTTTATGCCCTGCTGCAGTAAGCCAGGCCGTCCACCAGGGGGCAATGCCGCCCACAGCGCGCTCGGCACCACCTGGATTTAGCCCAAATGCTGGGACCTGCGGATTTCAGTTCAGCGGGAACCTTCCCGTCCAAATGCAGGGCAAAGTGCAGCAGGGGGAGGAGCCTGTTCACAGAAAATCGCTCACTGGGGGACGGTGTGTAGGGAAGGCCTGTGAGGGACGCAGGGAGGACACGGACTCTGGGCTCCGCGGCTGCCTGGCTGGGGCTGGGACGGAAAGACACCAAACCAAGAAAAGGGCAACCAGGAACGACTGGATTCTTGTTTTTCTCCAGGCCTGCATCCTGGACCGTGGCCAAGCTACTGAACTTCTCTGACCCTGAGCTTCATTACCTGTAAACGGGCGAGGGCCACCTGTCCGTGGCCACCTGCTCTGTGTGGACAGACAGGCAGGCCACCCGGCTCTTCCCCACCCTACAGGGCAGGGGCAGCCCCTGGGGCTCCGGCACGGGACATGCCCCCGCTGAGGCTGTCTGCAGACTCAGCAGCCCCGTCCCTCGGGCGCTCCGTGTGGGGTCCCGTCCGGCCCACTCGGGTTTCCGTGGGTGGGCGCTACCTGGGCTCTCCCTCCCAGGGACGCTGGACCCATCAACCAACGCTAACTCAAGTGCCAGCACCACGCTTGGCAAACAGTAGGCACTGAATCAAGGTCTCTGCCTATTGTCCCGATCCACCTGCCTGCCCGCGGTCTGTGAAGCCGTGAGGTCTCCCCAGACGGGACACACGCCCTTCCCCTCGATCCACCTCCACTTTATGGGTCAGATTATGGTCTGTCTCGGTGAGCGTTCCACTGGAAAATGGGGATTTCGCTGCTGTTGGGTGGGGGGGGGGGCGTATTTGTGCTTAAATCCTATTGGCTGCTCGCATTGCTGGGGTTCCTGCGTCCTGGTGACTTTCTGTCTAGTTCTCCCCATTGCTGAGAAGCCATCGCTGTGGGTTAGTCTGTCCTTCCGGCTCGATCAGCCTTGGCTTCCTGCGCTGAGGCTGTGGTTTGGCGGGGGCACGTCCAGGGGGCTTCTGTCTTCCCGGGGGTCTCAGTCCCGGGGGACCGAGCCTTTATGACTGTAGGATGGGCGTCCTTGTGCCTAGTCCTGTCCTGTGCCCTAAAGTACACTTTGTCAGACATGAATACAGTGGTTCCGTTTTTAAAATTAATGTTGGCATGATAGATCTTTTTAAGTCCTTGTCATTTTTTAAGATTTTATTTATTTGAGAGAGAAAGGAGAGAGCACGGGCAGGGGGAGCGACAGAGGCAGAGGGAGAAGCAGGGGCTGAGCAGGGAGCCCGATGCGGGGCTCAATCCCAGGACCCCGGGATCATGACCTGAGCTGAAGGCAGACGCTTAACCATCTGAGCCACCCAGGCGCCCATTTTGTTTTGGTTCTTTTCTGCTGTATGAACAAGTCTTTCACGTGCTCCTGGAAGCCTTGTCGCCAGGTCGTCCCAGCATCCGATTCACCCTGATGTTGGCGGCAGACGACTGTCCTTTCTCACTCATGTTGCGAATGACCCGGTTCTTTGCACATGGGATTTTCCATCGCATCCGGGACCTTCTGGCTATCACGCCAGGAGGCTCTGCGTCCCACTTGCATCTGATGTGTCAGCGGACGGTGTCCCTGCTTGGGCTGGAGAACCAGCCACCGGGCGCTGTGCCCGTGTGGAAGAGTTCAATCACAGTGATGCCACCAGAATTTGGTCCCTGCGGTTTACCTGGTGCTGCAGCTCCCACGGTCCTGGTAGGGCTGCCCGGGTGCGGGTGTGGGCACAGGTGTCTCGGGTAGAAGAGGGGGAGCCGTGGCTCAGCTTCCCTGGCCTGGCCTTTCTGGGGGCGTCCCCGGACAGTGGGAGACACAGCATGTTTCCCGGGGGGGGCAGGGCTTTCTGCTGGTGTCCCCCCACAACCTCACTGTCTCAGATCCATGGGGTCCAAGAGGCCTCATGGGCCAGCTGGATTTTCGTGGCAGACGCCTTTTGTGGGCACCTTCCCACAAGCAAAGGGCTTTGGGGGCCCACCCCCCACCCCTACTGTGGCCCTGGACCAGGCTTGTAAACAGCATGCAGTTGGGTCGTGTTTTTTGGTTGTCCTCGCTCTGCTAAGCTCTGGCCTCTGATTCCTCAGGAACCTGAAGGCCATTCATTCTTGGATCTTTCACTTGTTACCAACTCAACAGCCTTGCCTCCCAAGCGTGTCCAGACACAGCCAATCCCCGTGTCATGAAGTGTCCCTCCCCTGCATGTTCCCGGGGCCCCAAGTCCACCTGCAAACTCTGATTCCACTTTGAGTCTGCTCTGTGAAATGTGACTCAAGGCCCTGGGGAAGCTCATCTCACGATCCTGGTGACCACACACATAACCCTAGGGAAACAAGGAACCACGATGGAGGATAGGACGTGAGGTCCCCAGTGGGCGGGACCAGGACACAAACAGTCAATAGACCCAGGGTCCCCAGTGGATGGACCTGGGCGCTCATCTCCAGTAGATCCTGGATCCCCAGTGGGCAGGACCTGGGCACCCATCACTAACAGATCCACAGGTCGGGGTCCCGAGTGGCCAGGGCCTGGGTACCGTTCTCCAGAAGATCCATGGCCGGAGGGGGTGGGACCCTGATGCCCATCACTAATAGATCCCGAGCCCTGAGTGGGCGGGACCCAGGTACCCTTCTCCCAAAGATCCACAGCCCAAGGGGGCCGGGCCCGGGCACCCATCGTTAGATCCTGGGTCCCCAGCGGACAGACCCAGGCGTTCATCACCAAAAGATCCAGGGTCCCCAGTGGGCAGGCGGAGGGCCCACCACTAATAGATCCAGGGCCCAAGGGGGTGGATCCAGGTGCCCATCTCCAATAGATCTGGGTCCCCAGTGGGTGGGACCCAGGTGCCCATCACCAGGACATCCATCAGTAGTAGCCGCTGAGCGATGAGCAGGGAGTTAATGTGCACATGACAAGCTCCCGTCCAGGCAAGGCCTGGTGGTGGCCGGTGCTCCCAAAATCCTCTGGGCTGACTCTACTGCCGCCCCCCGGAAACGTCCTGTTGGACGAGACTCTCCCAAGTGTGCCTCCTCGGCCTTACGCTCCTGGCTGGGGCCAGAGCGGTCACGGCGTTTCAGCCATGGGAACGGTCCTGCCCCAGCCCTTAGCCTTATGAGCGCTGTGACCCCCAGCCTGCAGTGGGGAAGGCAGAGCCTGCTGAGCCCAGTGACCGTCCACCCACTGGGGGCCCCCTGACAGCTGCTCAGGGCTTTAGGACACACAGCGCATGAGGGCCATGGGTCCTGTGTCCCCATCATCTAAGTCGGGAAGGAACTCAGCCAGGCAAAGGGAGCCCAGCTCCAGGAAGGCAAAAAGCCAGCACGATGGGCCCCCACCTGGCGGGGGAGCCCCCCCGGAGGCTGGGGAGCCCCACCAGGAGGGTGGCAGTGGGCAACACCTGCATCCCTCGAAGCAACAGGTGAACCCACAAAACTTCATATTCGGGTTCAGCCCCAACGCGGTAGACGCCTGGAAGGTCCCCTCGGGGGCTGAACATCAACACAGACCAGGTCCTAGGAGTAACAGCACGGCAATTAAATTCTTATTCTCTCTGAATATAATTTTTCGAAGGTCTCTGGGCGGAAATCTTAAAATATATTCCCAAAGGCCAAACATATGTGAATTTATAACCGAATCCAACGCTCCATAAAAAATCCACTTCAAACTCCCAGTGAAACACGTGCGTGACCCAAGTGCACACACGGACACACAGACGTACACGCCCTCTGGGCGCTTCCAGCCGACACAACTAATGTCTGCCTCGCCGAGGCTTTCCCGCGTGTATAATTTTATTATACTCTGAATAGAGAGGATATCTGAAAAGCAGAGAAAATGACTATACAAAGGGTTTATAGAACATTCATTTACATAACTGGATATATTCTTTACAATATAAGAAAAGTAAAAATACCCACTAATAAGCAAGGCAGCTAAGGAGACACGAGGTCTTGGACACCGAGGATGCACACGGCGACCCTTAAATTCGGTGTGACTCGCCGCGGGTATAGATTAACACTGGAGGAACACAGCGTCCGGTTAATGAGCAGGTTAATAGGACCCTGGCTGTGACGCGGTGGGGACCCTCGACCTCCCCGGGACGGGACCCCCGTGCCAGGGATCGCGCGGAGTGTCCCCGAGCCTGCGTGGGGGTGGGGGTGCGGCTTGCCGCGCTCTGAGCCCCCAGTTCGTGGATTCCTCTCGTTCTGTGTGATGCACGTGTAACACAGGAAGAAACCTGTCGTACCAGCTCGTCAGGAACCAGGGAATCGGCGTCCCTAGGCTCCGCAGAGGGAGCAAACTTCCCGACGCCCTGGCCACTGTGAGGAAAAGCCACAGCCGGCCGGTCTGTCTCACAGGCCAGGGAGTGCGTCTTCTTGAATGCTCTGGATAGGGACCGCACAGGAGGCCCCGATGCCCATATCGTCCACCAGCTTGTGCTTCTGGGCCCCACCCCCACCCGCTCTCCGGTCTGTAAACGAGCCCTCTCGTCCTTGGTCGGAAGGATGAGGGACCCAACCTGCGGTCTTTGGGTCAAAATGGGTAGAAGCCACCTTGGGATGAGGTGCCCCTTGGGGACGGCACCTCGGGTCCCCTTGGCTGAATTTCTGCCACGAATGGAATCCCAACATGCCAGCCGCCCCTGCCGAGGACCAGACCCCGGGGCCCCCGGGAGATACCAGTGCATTCCACACCAACACCTGTCGGGGAAGAAGGTCCGCGAAGACCAAGGCAGACATTTGGCACAGAAATGAGGCACTTATGTTTGGTGCATCGACAGGAGCTGCAGTGGACCCGTCCACCTGCTTTCACACACGTACGACACCCCCCTGCGTCTCGCTTCCAGCTCTGCCAGTCGGCACGTCCGTCTGACCCGCTTCACACAGAGAACTCACAACCACGTTTCCACCCCTGGTGTGGTGCCCGCTGGTGACTCGCGGGGGGCCCGAAGAGCTGATCTTGATTTTGGAAAGTCGGGCAGCTCCCCGGGCCCCAGAGCCATGGGGCACCCCGGCTGTGTGGGAGGAGACCGAGCCTCCCGTCCGCCGTTGTCAGCCCCAACTCCCACCCTGGGGGACACACAGGAGCCTTGGCGTGACCAGCACCCCTGATTCGGTCGCCCAGGAGATGCAGAGGAGTGGCCCTCAGCTCAAGAACAGCCTTGAAGGACTGAGATTCATCATCTTCCTCCCCTTCCTCCTCTGCTCAGGAGGCCAGAAACACATAGAGGCGGGGACAAGGGGCCAACGGCTCACAGAGGGCCGAGAAGTGGAGAGCAGGGCCGAGTCTCCACCCAAAGGTGACCCACCCTCCGGAAACTTCCTCCCCAGAAAGGACGTCACCCGCCGCCGCCTGGACCCGAACCGTCCATGGCAAGGACTGGGGTGGTACTGGGGTGGTCAAGGCTGCTGTGGCCGGCCTGCTGGGGACGCGGCCCTTGATCGTGGGCATGGGTTCGGCTTGGCAGCCCCCAGAAGTGGGACCCCGTCCTGCCCAGCAATTTATCATAAATAATTTGGCATAAGTAGAATATAAATTATATGAAAAGACATGTCGCGTCCATGTTCCCTCTGCTCTCACGGACAACATGCCGTTTGGAGCCGGAGCTGCCACCTGCCCGCCCGGCCGGGGCTCACGGTGCCCCTCCCCTGGGACTGGGTGGCCTTCCTGGTCCTCACAGCCATCACGTCACCCCCTCGCTCATGCCCCCAGAGTTCCGGAAGGGCCTGACTGGCACGAACCTTCAGCAAACATGCATCCCCTTCTCGGTGAGCTAGCGTGTCTGTCGTGGAGGAGAGAGGCCTCCCCCCGGGTGCTGGGTGGACAGGGGCCCTCCGTGAGGCTGATGGCACCACCGGCCACCCAGGGGCCACGTGCAGGGGCCGGGCGCCCTCCTTCCCACAAACGCCGGCGTGCAAGGAACATGGGGGCCCCTGCCAGCGTGGAGCCCAATTTCCTCCACCCGGGAAGCGCTTGGCCACAGAGACGTGTCAGTGAGCAGTCTTTCAGGAAAGGACAGCAGAAAGGGGGGCCATCTGTCCTCCTGTCCATGAAGCCGGAGGAGGAGCCCCTCGCCCTCCTGGGGCTGGAACGTCAGGCTGGCCAGTTGCTTCGCGGGGGACGCCCCAGCCCCGCTCGGGTCTCTGGCTGGGAGGGGCTCAGATCTTCTTAGGGGACCCGATCATGACCTTTGACACGAAGTTGACGATGGCACTTGCAGGCTGCTCGGGGTCATGCTCCGCGAATAAGTGGCACACATTGTCCGTGGCGCTGCCCTGTTTCCGGGCCACAAACCCGAAGACTCTGCAACAGGAAAGGGGGTGAGGCCAGAGCGCCAGCGTCCCGCAAGGCCCAAGTGTGGGTGCAAACCTCTGTCCGCTCCCTCCCTGCACCACCACAACCTCCACCCGCCACTCACCACCACCCAGCCAGACACCTGCCCACAGCTGTCCACCTCCCAAACCTCGCAGGGACAGCAGGTGCATGGCCGGCCACCACCCCAGGCCACTCCTGGCCGGAATCCTGCAGACGCGGGTCAGGGCAGGTCCCTGAGCCCCCACCCGGCCGGTGGCCTGACTCTCCCAGGGGAGGCCAGGCTCCCCAGGTAGCGGGGTGGGGCAATCAGATCACGTGGGGGCACAGGTGAGGGCCGCACGTGGCCACCCTCCCGCCCTTGGGGGCCAGAAGCTCTCCTCTCGGGCCTCCTACACCCCAGTTACAAACTATGGGCAAGTAAGGAACTATTAGAAGAATCGGAGCTGTTCTCCGAATGGGCTTTTGTGAGACCTGAGTCTCACGCGGGGACTCCCGTTGTCCCCGGGAAACTCTTTCTGCTCCTTCTTAAAAAAAATGAAGGATTCTTTTGTTCCAGGGGAGCGGTTTCCCAGCCATGAGAGGGACTGGCTCAAGGAACCCCGATGAGGTGGCACATTCCACGTGGCTGGGAGCGCCGTCAGCCCCACGTGTCAGAGCGTGGGGCCTCCGGGTACTTTATCAGATCCCAAGGCCAACAGGAATGTGAACCAGAGACGCTACAAGAGGATCTTTGTGGTCTGACCTATTCCTGGCAATCAGATTTAGGTTACATGGAGGAAACCGGGCTGGCGAGCGCCAACAGCTCCGAAAGGTTCTGGGAGCGCCCCTGCCTGGCGGGACTGGCCTGCTGTGGAGGCAGGGCAGGCGGAAACCGTGCTCCCCCTGCATCTGGGAAATGCTGAACACTGTGTCATTCACAGTCACACAGGGGAAGTCCTTCCTCCACCCTGACCTCGATGCACCTGCAGTCCACGCCCGCCCTGAACAGCCCAAAAAGCCATGCATTCGCCTCCACGCTATTTTCGCCACATACAGGTCCGGGGTATGTACTGTGCCTCCAGGAAAGAGCAAGCAGGAAAGTGAACCCCAGGAGGCCCTTCCTGCAGAAGGACACACTTTCGTTTGTGTTCATGGCACGAACCCGTTGGCATGGTTCCCTCATTTCCTTATGGGAAACCCTCTTTGGAAATCTGTACAAAGATGCACTTTGGACCGTGACAGGAAGGGCGCTGGCGTCCCGTGAACCTACCTCGAGCAGGGGCCATCCGTGATCCACCTTGCAGATTAAAAAGAAAAGGAAGAGTTACATTCACTTCTTTATTAATTTAACAGGCAAAGGATGCACACGCATCGCCTGAGACAAATACAGATGTCTTACTTCCGGTCCTGTGGATCCAATGCGCAGAAGATCACGCTGCTCACGGGGTAATGTCTCCGGAAGAAGAGCCTGTTGGGACACGGGGGGGGAACGCTCTGTTAGTGGGCGTGAGGGTGACAGGGACGCATAGCGCAGGCTCCCCCGAAGGAGAGTCGGGCGGAAACCGACTGGATTACTAGTCACTTGGAGAGAAGGACTGTGCGTACGCCCGTTAGAAACGGGCAGGTGGACGCGGGGCTGAGCGGTGCTGGAAAAGCTGGCTCTTGGCAAGAGGGACGCATACAGCAGAGTCACATCGTGCACCTGCCAGCCACACGGAGGTCGGAACCGAACCCCGGAGCCCCGGCATGGCCCTGGAGGAGAGCCAGGGAGCCCGGCCTTCCCGTGCTCGGCCCGAGAACCGCCGACCATGTCCAGCCACCGACCGTCTCCAGCCGAACTTTCCTCACTGGGGACACGGTGTCCAGTAAGGCCGTCCACTCTTGGGGACTGGAGCCCACATCAGACATGAGGAAGGAGCTGACGGCACACTGCGAACGTACAGACTAGCTGTGGGGTGGGCACAAGGGGCGGGTCGGGGCTGCCCCACCGGCCGGCACCAGGGGACTGGCCTTGTGCCCCGTGACGCTCCTGCCATCCCCCTGCTTTTATGGCCGATGACCTGGCTCTCTTATTAACCACACCGGGCTATTTCCAAAACAAATGAACAACAAGTGCATTGGAAATGTCTTTGACTCTGAGGTCAGGGGCTCCGTGGGGGAGGGAGGGGGACATGCTGCTGTCTGTGCACCTGACTCTGCTCCCCGTTTGGGCTGTGGCCCTACTATGTTCCCGGGACACCTGCTAGGTAGAACCCACTCAGGGACAGCTCTGCTGAAAGCCACCGAAATTATTATCTAGTATCTACATATTCAAACACCATCTAGATAACATTTAGTATTGTAACGTATTATACAACAGATGGTCATGAATAACTATTACTAGTATTAGTTGCTCTTAATATATAACTAATGGCTACATTACAATTAATTATCTAGATACTGGACTAACATCTAGCAAGCTCACAGTGTCACCCGAAACGGAACGACCACCAGTCAGATGTAACGACACCAAACCAAAGACGGGTGAGTTCTATCACAGTCTCCCAGTGTTTCGACAGAATCGAGTTCAAAGATTTTTGAGTCTAAAAATTATACTCGTGTGTGCGCGTGACACTCAAAGGTCCAAATCTCTCTCTCTCTCTTTTTTTTCTTTACAAGTTTACTGACTCCTAAGAAGAAAACGTCTGCGCCGAATGTCCACGGTTTACACGCAGCTCCTGGGAGGTCCTGAAGGACAGGGACGCGCCGAGGACTGACGCGTCCAGAGCCAGGCCCCAGGGACACACGGGCCGGCGGGAGGTCTGACCCCGGGTGCGCCCAGAAGCCCGCCCGCAGCCCGGCGCCCAGGCACACTCACTTCCTCTGGTTGTCCGTCAGGGTGATGCCCTGGGCCGACACCTTGAAGTGCACGACCGTACACAGGGGAGACGGCTCCTGCACGAGGGTGAGGCTCAGGGCCTTCTGGACGGCCTGGGGGCCCGTGAGCGACTCCATCTCCACGGAGTTCAGGTACCACACGTTGCAGGCTGCAAGACACCCAGGGAAGCAGGGTGTTCACTGGAGGCAAAGCCCTCGGCCCCCCATTCCGCAGGCGTGGACAGGGAGGGACCAGGGACACACGTGCCCCGAGGCCCCGTCCCGGAAGCCTCCCGCCGCCCCTGCCACCGTGTCCCCAGTGGGGCTGGAGACCCCTCCCCAGCCTCGGTGCGGGTGTGGGTCCACGGCACCACCGCAGGTCAGTAAACGTGCGAGAGGGAAGCCAGAACCCCAAAGAACCGTCCTGCACAGACTGCTGGAGGTGACGGCGCCCAGAGCAGCGGGGACGATGCATGAGGCGTATGACGTGGGGCAGAGGCTGCGTGAGGAAGGCGCGGGTCGGCCCATCCTGTCTGGGTCCTAGCCCCGCCCTGCCACGGGGCTGGGCTTCTCGGGGGGGACGGGGAGCAAACTGTCGAGTGTGAACAGGGCTTGGTAAACAGCCTGACGGCCCTCTGAGGCTGCACCCCTGCAGCTCATGCAGAAGCTGACATGGGACCTTGGGGCATGTGTGAGGTCGGTGTGTCCTGAGACACTCGGACTCTACCTACCGCTCGCTCCCAGCAGGAGCCACGGCCCCGCCTGGCCAGCGACCAAGAACGTGTCCCTCCCGGCTGCCACCACCCCCAAGAACAGAGCCGCCTGTGCCCCTGCCCTGCCGGATGCCAGGCTCCACGTGAGCGTCCGCGGCCTGTGAGCGGCTAGCCATCCACGGCCTCGAGGCAAATGCTGCGATTCACAGCTCATCTTCAAAGCCTGGGAAGCTCTGGGGTCTCAGAAGCCCCTGCTTCTGTGAGTAAGCCCCAGGTCTGCACCAAGTTCATCGGAAAACAAAGCTTCGCCCTTGATCCTGGGGTGCTGAGCATGACAAGCATGTCGGCCGGGGTCTCACCGACGTCACGGGGAAAAGCCACTGGAATCGAATCACTGCTGGAGCCACTGAAGAGGCCCAATGGGAAAGGCCCAGAATGAAGGGAAGGAGCAGATTCCAGAAAGCCTCCCGGGAACGACGCAGCCCAAGGCTGGAGAAAGGGGTCTTCAGCGAGAGCATGCACCGCACGGAGCCTGCCACGCTCACTGCAGGGAGCTACCCCACTTCCTCTAGAGGACACAGCCCCCGAACTCGCCATCAGTGGCAGTTTCCTCCGAGACCCCAGCTTCCCCTACGAAGTTCCCTGAACCACTCCCTAGCTCTTACCAGAAGCAGCTGGAGACCGCACCCCTGTACCGGCCGGAAATGCGCTGTGCCGCCAGGCAGCATCTAAAGAGAACTCTCCACCCCGAACACAACCGTTTCCGTGTCTCTGAGCTCCGCTAAGGCTGCTCATTCTGAGGACGATCCCTGCGTGTCAGGCCATGGCGGACACTTTCTAGAGACTGTCTCAGCCCATCTGCACCTGTCCCATGGCGGAGGAGGACACAGTGGCCTGGAGACCCCAAGAAGAGGTCCAGGAGCCTCGCAGCCAGCCCCTGGGCGTCCACGCCACCGTGTCCTGACACCCCAGCTCCATGCTGCTGCTGCAATGTCCACGGAGAAACTACGGAGTACCGGGCACGCTCGGTGAGAAGCGTCCAACGTTCCCGGGGTGCGCTGTGGATTTTACAGTGAGGCACGTAGGCTGTGTGCGAGCGTCCCTGGCCACAGATAACGCCCCCTGACAATGCCACATGCCCGTCCTGAGAGCAGACGCACCTTCAGAAGGTTGCACCTGTGCGTTCTCACCCAGAGGGACGCTCAGGGGTGGGCGGGAGTCGGAGACGCACCTGCTCCCTGCAGCTGGCTGGCATGGACCCGAGGGAGCGGCAGGGATGGTGGCGATCTGCACTCTAGCTGCCACCTGGACTTGAGGGGTTTACATGTGTCGCTTGGGACAGAGCGCATGTTGGCACATTACAACATAGCCACCCAGCGCCCCACGCCTGCCACACTCTGATGAAACATTGGGTCAACCTGGATGGCCCTTCTGGACAACGTGGTCATCTTTATCAGGAGGCTCAGAAGGGAAATCTTCCATAACCACGGTGGACGACCAGCCCAGAGGTGGGGCTATGGGAGCCTCGCGCTGACTTAGCGGGGAAACGGGGAGTGGCTCAATGAACCCCACACGGAAAACCAAGCAACCAGCAAATGGCAGCCACACCACACGTACAGCGACAAGAAGACAGGTGGCCACGGCCGACACTCCCGGGTGGTTCACGGGAAAGTCGGGAAGAGAGTGGGTCCTAGGATTTCTCAGCTCAAGGAGAACCTTTCTCTCTTCTCCTCTTCGTATTGTGTCTACACAAGAAGACGGACGTGAGCTGAGCCTCCAGGGTGACCACCTCACGACTTAGATAATCAAACCCTCTCGCCATGCACCGTAGGCCTGCACAGGGACAGTACGTCAACTATTTCTTAAACCCAGAAAACCGTTAGAGGTTGATGGGAAAGCAGAATAAAAACCATATTCATGCTACGATCACAAGTATAAAAAAAGAAGTGTGTGTGTACGAGCCGGAGATGGATGGGTGCCTGGAAACTTCAAGACCGCGTGATTTTCGGAGGGTGGATATTCTACCTTCGATTTCATTAGCGTTACTGTGATGCATTTCCAAAAACAAGAAGACAAGGAATTCTGATCAAACGACAGTGAAATCCCACAAAACGGGCACAGCCTGGGTCTGCGCCAGGACGGGCGGCCACCAACCCAGACCCCGTCTCCCCTGTGGCACCACAAATGGCCTTTTGATAAGGAGTCGGGGTTTGGGGAATCTCACCCCTAAAGGAGTCATTCCTCAAAGCAGAAGAGGGAAGCTGCCACTTGATAAAGCACACCTGGGGGCAGGTCTGCTGAGCCCACGGGTCCGTCCCGGAGCCCTGCTCTCCAGCAGAGGAGGGAGGATCCACAGGGTGGCTGATATTTGTCCACCCAGCCTGGCCCCTGTCGTCCAATTCCACCTGACACGTGGTCCCGGCGTGGGGTGGGGGGGTCGCCTTGTGGAGCAGGGCTGCCTCCTGTGAACGGGGCCGTGCCCATCAAACCCATGGGTACAAAGCCTCAGGAACACACGACCTCACCCAGCCCTACTGCGTCTGGGAACTTGGGTCCTAAGAGAGCAATGCAAGATTCTGAAAAAAGACATAAAGCAGAAAGGTAGCCTCCCATGTCTGTAGTACTGAGAAGCCAGAAACAAGCCAAATGAGCAGAGCAACCGTAAGGAGCTGAGTCACAAGATGGACCACCTCGCAGCCACTGAAAACGAGACCTATGTGGTGTGCAAGAAAAATGGGTGAACTTCTTACTCAAAGCGAGAAAAGGAAGAACATCCAGGGTGGTCTGGGAAACAGGCGTCTGAGCAGTTCACCTTCCCTCTCTCTTCCATGTCTCTTCCCTTTTTTAATAAAGATTTTATTTATTTATTTGTCAGAGAGGACGAGCACGAGCAGGGGAAGGGTCAGAGGGGAAGGGAGAGGGAGAAGCAGACTCCCCGCCGAGCAGAGAGCCCAATGCGGGACTCGATCCCAGGACCCTGAGATCATGACCTGAGCCGAAGGCAGACGATTAACCCACGGAGCCACCCAGGCGCCCCTATCCTTTTTTTTTTTTTTTGATTTTATTTATTTATTTGAGAGAGAGAGAATGAGAGACAGAGAGCATGAGAGGGAGGAGGGTCAGAGGGAGAAGCAGGCTTCCCGCGGAGCAGGGATCCCGATGCGGGACTCGATCCCAGGACCCTGCGATCATGACCTGAGCCGAAGGCAGACACTTAACCCACAGAGCCACCCAGGCGCCCCTATCCTTTTTTTTTTTTTTTTTTGATTTTATTATTTATTTGAGAGAGAGAGAATGAGAGACAGAGAGCATGAGAGGGAGGAGGGTCAGAGGGAGAAGCAGACTCCCCGCTGAGCAGGGAGCCTGATGTGGGACTCGATCCCAGGACTCCAGGATCATGACCTGAGCTGAAAGCAGTCGGTTAACCAACTGAGCCACCCAGGCTCCCCCCCCCTTTTTTTTTTAAACTTAAAGAACTCCTACTACTTTTATAAAGAAAATACACTTCACAACATGGTAAATTAAGGACACAGCCTAACACTGCTGGGAAATGTACCAGAGCTCTGGTCCTTCTTCCCAGGATGGACTGCATCCCGCAGCTTCAACACCACCAAGGAAGAGACCAAAAACGCCAACAGTCAGAGACTGGAACGACCCAGAAGGGCCTCAGTCACACGAGAGAAGGGGAAGCAGACGAGGGACCATGCACCCTCGCTGGGGACGCCCGCCTCTGCTAATGTTCCCGGGTGCTGCTTCCTCAACTTTATGGGGAGGGGATTCCACACAGGACAATTCAAGTCACTCACAAAATTTAGTTTAGGGGGGAAAAATCAGTTTCCTTGAGGTGATCACCAATGGGACAGTCTGTCTTCCTGTGCTTTTTCCAACAACCGTGGGGCCTCTGCAAGCTCACTGCTGCTTTGTTCTCACTCCAGCCACGGATCCGTGTCCTGATTCCACGCCTTGCCTTGTCACCCATGAAGTGAGCTGCACGGGTATTTAACCCCCTCAATGTGTCTTAGAAACATGAGGCTCCACCCTGTCGTGTGTAAATACTCAGCTCAGATGCTCACATGAGATCCCCAGGGCCCGCCTCAAGTCCTGGGAACTGCCATCCTTCAAAAAAGCAAGTCCTCCGGCATTACTCCATACCTGCCATATGTTCTTCAACAAGATTATCAAGTGTATCTAATAATGATAAGTTAGAATAGAAGGAAAAGCCGTAATACCTAAAAATAAGGGTCATTACGGTTCCTAATTATGATAAGCAAATTCACTGATCTATTTATTAATTGGACATTTATTGGGGAAAATGTTTGATAATCATGAAGCTTAAGGAGAAACACAACAGGCAGCTTGTCGTAAGATGATATTAAGCTAAGTGCAGAGCCTAGAGGCGTGTGGGCTGCAGTGCAACCCCAGGCTGAGAGCAGGGCTGCACCCCGGAGATATTACGGAGGCGCCCAGCCGAGGCCCGTGCAGGGAAAGGGTGAGGCCCCCACCACAGGAAAGGCCATTTTTCCTGGGCCGGGAAGGGCATTTTCCCGTGCAAACACAGCAGGACTAATACCACCACAACCTACGTGAGTGACCACGTTATGGTTCCCAAGGCAGTTTTCAACATCTGATTCACTTGGGTCTTCGCAGCCACGCTGTGGGGGGAGATCATTATCATCGATACGTCGAGATCCACATGGCTGAGTGTCCTGCCAGAGGTCAAAACCCTGAGTGGCAGAGCCTGGACTTGAACCCAGGACTGACACAGCCACGCCCCTCATTTTGGAGCTTCACGTTCCAACACGTTGCTGTTTGGGGCAAACCACGTCAGCTTCATTTTGGACACACAGAACGTATCCCTCAAGGAGGTCTGAACTGAAAAGAGTTCAACACTCATCCTTGTGAAACCAGAGAGATGAACTTTAGCTGGGCAACAGGCATAGTGATGGGGGGTTCCACAGAGAAAAGTTGCACAGAAGAACCATGCACAATGTACAGAGGAAGTAACAAGAAGAGAGCTGTAGGTTGCACTGACCTCCAACACGGAGCCACAGCTGTGAAGTATGCTACCAATATGAGGTGCAGAAAGGACGTATTTCTTGTCCAGGCCTCCAACCAGTCTCTGAAATTTCCTTCCCCAACCTTTCCGAGAGCAAACGTCCACCGTGGGGAACTCGGTTCCCTCACGGCTGCAGACCCACAGGAGCCCCATGGCCTCAGTCTTGTCCACAGCCCTCTTACTCTGGGGCCCCCAGGGGCTGCATCACATGCTGCAACAGCAAGTAGTGGGGCTGTATTTATAGCACGATGCAGAAAACAAGATTAATATACAAGTCAATCCCTTTCCAGTCCAGCACAAGACAATCACAGTTTGGGATTAAAAGCACAATACAAGGTACATTAGCAGCCCCCAAAGTGAAATACCTAGGTATCAATCTAATACAATTACGTACAAGAAATACTTACAAGGAAAATTATAAAACTTTGATGAAAAATATAAGATAGCTGAATAAATGGGAGAGAGAAACCATGCTCATGGATAGGAAGACTCAATTTTGTCAAGATGTCGGTTCTTCCCAACCTGATCTATAGACACTATACGATTCCAATAAAAATCCCAGCAAGTTATTTTGTGGATATTGACCAACTGATTCTAGAATTTATATGGAAGCAAAAGACCAAGAATAGCACAGACTGAACAAGAATTGAGGGAGACTGAAGGAGAAGCACAGAGTTGGAGGACTGACACTACCTGACTTCAAGATTTACTGGAAAGCTAGTAGTCGAGACTGTATTATTGGCAAAAGAACAGACCAATTGATCAATAGAAAACAACTGGGAGCCCAGAAATAGACCCACATCATTAAGTCAGCTGATCTTTCATAGAGGAGTGAAGACAACACAATGGAGAGGAGATCACGTCTTCCACAGAGGGGGCTGGGACAGCTGGACGCCCACGTGCAAAACAGAGACTGTAACACAGACCTCACACCCTTCCCAAACCCTAACTCACAGTGGGCCGCAGACCTGAATGTAAAATGTAAAAGTATACTTCCAGATCACATAGGAGAAAATCCAAGATGATCCAAGATCATCTTGGGTTTGGTGACAAACTTTTCAAAGACAACACAAAAGGCACACCCCATGAAAGAAAGAAATGATAAACGGGATGTCATTAAAACTAAAAATTTCTGCTCTGTGAGAGACAACGTCAAAAGAATGAGAAGACGAGCCACAGATTGGGAGGAAATATTTGCAAAAGATACGTCTGATAAAGGACTGGTCTCCAAAATATACAAAGAACTCTTAAAATTCAACAGCAGGAAAACCACCCAATTAAAAACGGACTAAATACCTTAACAGACATCTCACCAAAGAAGGTGTATAGGCGGCAATGATGGAGAGATGACCCATGTCACGTGTCATCAGGGAAATGCAAATTAAAACATCGATGGGATACCAATGCACACCTATTAGAACAGCCAAAATCCAGAACCCTGATGACACCAAATGCTGGTGAAGATATGGAGCAAAAGGAGCTCCCACCCATAGCTGGTGGGAATGCAAAATGGTGTAGCTCTTTTGCAAGACAATGCTGGTTTCTTGCAAAACTAAACATACCAGGGGCACCTGGGTGGCTCAGTCGGTTAAGCATCTGTCTTCAGCTCAGGTCATGATCTCAGCGTCCTGGGATCGAGCCCTGTGTCAGGCTCTGTGCTCAGCAGAGAGTCTGCTTCTCCCTCTGCCCCTCCCCACGCTCATGCGCATGTGCATGCATGCACGCTCCCTCTCTCTCAAATAAATAAAATCTAAAAAGCCCACAAAACTAAACATACTTTTAATATATGATCCAGCAATCATGCTCCTTTTTATTTACACAAAGGAGCTGAAAACTCACGTCCACACAGAAACCCGCACACGGATGTTACAGCAGCTTTATTCGTAACTGCCAAAAGTTGGAAGCAAGCAGGATGCCCTTCAGTGGGGAACAGATGAGTACACTGTGGTCCGTCCAGACAACATAAGATCATTCGGCACTAAAAAGCAATGCGCTACCGAGCCATGAAAGGACACGAAGGAAACTTCTGTCACTCAGGGACGAAGTCCATCTGAAAAGGCTACCAACTGTAATGATTCCAACTCTAAAACATTCTAGAAAGGGCAAAACCACGGAGACAAGGAAGGGGTCAACGTTGCCAGGGTCTGGAGGGCGGGGGTGAGCAGGTGGAGCACAGAGGATTTTTAGGATGACGAAAGCACTCTGAGTGATACTCTGGTGGTGGATACACAGCATTCTGCATTTGTCCAAAACCACAGAAGGAACACCACTGAGCGTGAGCCCCAGCGGAGACTCTGGACTCTGGGTGATAATGACGTAGGTTCACAGATGGGAACAAATGTACCCTCTGGTGGGGGAACGCCGTAATGGGGAACGTTGCACATGCACGGGGCAGGGGGTGTGGGGGAAACCTCTGTACCTTCCTCTTAATGTTCCTGTGAACCTACAACTGCTCTAAAAAATGTATAAAGTCTATTAATTTAAAAAACAGGTGCCCAGGCAAGCGCACTGTCTGGGGGTCTGCATCACCCTGGGTTGCAGGCAGCGAGGGCGAAACCATCGGCTTGCTGAGTCAGGCCCGTGAGTCCTTTTACACTCATGGCTGGGAGGGGCAGGCCCCCCACATCCCGGCTCCCTGCCTTCTCCCCAGGCGAAACCCAGGACTTGGCTCTCTCCCACGGTCTCTGGTCTTGTTTGCAGTGGGGACATTTCCAGCCCAGGGAGTCCTGGTTCTGTCCGCCCACACTCACTGCCCAACCAGGCCTGGGGGGCTCCCAGAGAGTGGGCTCCTTCACACACACAGCAGGAGGAAACCCGCAGACCCAAGGTGACCCCCTTCTGCCCAGGACCTAGGACGGAGCACGTGAAGCCAGAGACTGACCTGCCCCTTGCTTCAGCAGCTCTGCGGCCGAGTTGGCTGCCGTCTGGGGAGAGCTGTCGGCTATCTCCTCCAACGGATCTGCGGGACAGAGCAAGAAAATGCAGAAATGAGTCCGGCTCACCGGAGAAGAGTCTTCACGACACGGTCAGACTCGGGCCTGGATTCCCGGGGGGTGACCTGTCTGTCTCCTGGTGACAACCCCCCAGCCCGCGGACCCCAGCACTGCGTTCTGAGCAGGCAGGGGGGCGACACGGTCCAGCAACATGTCTTTCTCAGCTCTCATGACCAATGAATTGCAAAAGGTAAATCACACTTACCTATATTATAAATTTATCACTATGGAATCTAATAAAGTTATGTGAAATTAATACTGCCTAGGAAGCTGGGAAATATGGCCAAATCACGCTGTTATGCAATGGGTGCTTTTTTCCCTAATTAGAGATATTTTCAAACAGCCATAAAGGCAAAGAGAATAGTTTGTCACCTAAGCTCAAAAATACCAATATCTTGCTGATTTTGTAGAACTGTACAAATTAATTTAAGTGTGGCCCTGAAGCTCTCTTGGTGCAGGTGCTTTCTATCCAGGGAAGCCATTCACAAAGCCCGTAAGGTGACGGCGTCGCTGGGCGCTGCCTCTTGTCGGCCGACTTGGGTGGGCTACACGACACTCTTTGGGGTTTACCCACAGGGCACAGGACAGAGGAAGATTCCGGTCTGACTTCTGCCGGTGGATCCTCATGGACCCGACACGCCGTACCCAATATGCACGCGGCCAGCCAGAAGAGCACGGAGGACCCGACCGCGTACCTCTGTCTGGAATGAGCAGCTTGCAGGGCAAAGCCAAGGGCGTGATGGAATGCTGACACACCAAAGCCGTGAGGCTCCCTGCAAACGGATAAACAGCAGATGGGCGTTAACGCGGCCCTAAACATGGCACCGCGGGAAGGAAGCTGCTGTGGAGGGCGAGCACTTATATTTGTAGCAACTAACACGCTCCGTTATTGCGGGACTTGGCGCAAAACTTCAGTGAAGTGACTAGTCCAGCAAGAAAGCTAAGAGCTAGGTGGAGGAACTGCAGGTGATTCTGGGCCAAGGCACACAGGCACCAATTTGGAAAGAGGAAGTCAGCCGTCAGCTGAGTCTGAGACAGCCCAGGTGCCTCCGTGGTCCCTGCAAGGTGCTCCCGGAGGCTAGGACCGTGCGTCTGGGTGTCGTCCCAACAAGCCTGCGAGGTTGGGAAGGAAGCGCTAACCCGGTCCGTGCTCATGGGCCTGCCTGCTTGCCATCTGTTTGGTTTTGAGAAAGCCTTCAGAACAATTCCTTATCCAGTTTATCTTGGAGACGATAATCGGGTGAGGGGCCTGGGGAGCCCGGGGGAGGGGGGGGAAGGCCCCGTTGCTCACGGCAGCAGGGGGCTGCACACCGCGTGGGCCAGGACGCCAACTGTGACCTCACAGCCACTTACCGAAATAGGGTTCGTTGGGGCACCCCTTCAATCGCACTCCCTTCGGGGTACACTCGATCAAAAAGTGCCGAACGAGTTCATTGGCCAGATCTCCCGCTGTAGTGAGAGAGTGAAAAGAAAGAAAAGAGAATTTAAGAATAAGAGCACGGGGGCACCTGGGTGGCTCAGTCGTTGGGCGTCTGCCTTCGGCTCAGGTCACGGTCCCGGGGTCCTGGGATCGAGCCCCGCACCGGGCTCCCTGCTCGGCCGGAGGTCTGCTTCTCCCTCTCCCACTCCCCCTGCTTGTGTTCCCTCTCTCGCTGTGTCTCTCTCTGTCAAATAGATGGATAAAATCTTTAAAAAAAAGAATGCGAGCACAGGAGGATGGGAGAGAGGGACAGAGCACCAGCTAAAGGGAAGGGCCCCAGAGCCGGGCCGCTGGCCTCGGTGGGCTGCCAAGCAGCATCCTGGGAAGGAGAGCGGAGCCCCCAAGGGTGACATGCCCGGAGGTGCAGGGGTCCCGGGAGAGACCCTCACACATCCTGCAAGCATCCCCAGTGCAGGGAATGAGTCAGCTGCTGTGAACAGAAACACGCTGTCCAGCTCCTAGCCCTCGTAACAGGAGAGGTTAGAAGGATCTGGATAAGGTGATGCCCGATAGCAAGCCACCGACAAGAGCTAGAAGGGACCAGCCTTGAGGGTATGACTGAGCCAGGAGCCACGTGACAGACCCCCAGGGAGGAAGCCCTCCGTCACTGGGACCAGACAGAACATCGCTGCCCCCGCCAGCCCGTGCATCCGAAGACAAGGCACGCCCAGAAAACCTCCAAACTGAGCTGGAAATCGCCCGACAGCAGCACCCGCCCGCGGGGAGGGAGACGGCCAGACTCCATGGAAGGCTGTGGTGAACACAGGTGTGGAAAGGAGCATCGTGCATCCTCAGCTGTGGGAGGAAAAGGATCCGCGTCTTCCGCACTGAAGGGGACACATGCGCCGGGGACAAGTGTCTCAGTGGGATGGCCAGCCGGCTGGCTGCCCGGAGAACAGATCCGTCCTGGACATCTGTCGCTGCCCGGTCTCCGGGTACCAAGAGGCGGGATGCTGACTCGCTGTGCTCTTTCCTCTCAAACCTCTCCTTGCACCGTGACACCCAACTGCCAAATCCAGGGCTGGACGAGTACAGGCAGCCAGCGAAGATTTCAGCCAGAGGACACCGGGGACGTTTTGTGACCTTCACCTTAGGGTTGAGTCAAGGTTGGCCTGAGATGCAGATGCACGCCGGGAGGCGAGAACACACACACAGCACCGTCCACATTTCCGAAGCGACAGTGCATGCAGGAAAGACGCCGGCTTGCAGTTTCCACGGAGCCAAGAGCCACCCTGCACGCTCCACAGCACCCGTCCCCGCTCTCCCCTGGACCCCGTCCACAGACCCAAGCCACTCCTGTCCCGAGACTCTTCCTGCTCGAATCCTCGTTGAGGATTGCTGGAGCTTCTCACGCCGGGTTCCTCGCCACTCAGCTGTTCTACTCGATCTGCACGAAGCCTCCTCCCGCTTCGCTTCCAGACAACACCATCTGGATTTGGGGTCTGTGCTGAGTCCCCTGCACCCTGCCCCTTCCACTCACCGCACAGCAGACACCTAGGTTCTCTGAAAGCCCCTCGGCCGGATGCTTTGGCCACCAAATCTCATGTCCTTCCAGGCACAGCTCCGAGGTCACTTCCTCCTGGAAGCCGTGGGCAGAGCCTCCACCCAGGGATTCCCATCAAGCCTCTTGGATCCTGGGCGCGGCATGGGAGTGAAGCAGACCCATGTCACTTTGCTCCTTAAACGTGTGAGCTCCGAATCTGCTTATCTGGATTCCCCCGTTCCTGGTGAACCCAGCGCCCACACGAGGAGCCTGCTTCCTTCTTGAGCTTCCTGTTGTGAAACGTAAACCGACCACTGGTGTCTACCCTGCGTCAAGTGATGCTCCCGGCGCTGTTTTTCCAAAGACATTTGCTCACTTCGGGTCTCTGTGTCACATTTTGGTATTTCTCGCAGTATTTCCAGCTTTTTCGTTATTATTACACTGATTACTGTGATCCGTGATTACGACAGGTGATACGCTCAGATGGTGGTGAGCTTTTCACCAAAAGTATTTTTTCATCAAGGTGTGTGCATTGTTTTTTTAGACATGAGGCTGTTGCACACTTGGTGGACCACAGTACAGAGTAAACGTCGCTTTTACGTGCACTGAGGAGCCCCAAAGCTTATCTGACGCGCATCGTAGCAATACGCGTTACTGCGATACGTATTATCGTGATTCACGTTATTGCGATATGCACTCCTGCCGTGTCTCTGAGGTGGGCCTGCATTCATTCCCTGGAAAGCCGTCAGAGAGCAACAGGTACAAGCAGTGTTACAAGTAGAAACAATGAATCTTGTAACATGAGCAAAAGCAACTCACAAAAGAATACATACTAGTTTTCTAATTTAAGTTGAAAACAGGCAAGACCACGATGTTCAGGGATTCCTATTTTGGTGGTTAATATAAACAAGCTGTAACTCTACCTTCTACTTAGTAGGCCTCCTGTCTGCAGTGGCAGGATGGGTGATCTGAAGGGTGTGTGTCCGTCAGGACACGGAGGAAGGGGCAGGTGCAGCTGGGGATGGGGCTTGTCACCAGGAGAGGGTGGGAAAGGCCCCGTGATGGACTCCGTGACTCCGCGCTGGAGCTGCTATCTGAGCCAACTCACCAACCTTTTAAGAGTGATCCAGTTCCTCGCTCTGGACACCAGAGAGAAGCAGTCACCCTTGGACACTCCAACACACCCAGCACTCACACGTTCAGGTTCCCAAAGACGGCCCCCCAGCACACAGAGGTGGGGATTCTTGGAGAAATGGCGGGCAGGGAAAGGACAGACAGTAGGACATCGGAAGGACACGGGGCCAGCCCCAAGGGCCTCACGGAGCCCAATCTAGGGGTCGCTGGAATACCCGAAAGATCGTGGGATGACGGAGTGTGACACGCAGGAGGGGCACGCAGGGGCCTCCTGCCAAGGTTGTCTCCTGGGCTACGGGCACGCCTGTGTTTGCTTCATGGGAACATTTACCGTGCACGGAGCCATCGACACCCTCTCTGCACGTGGTTGTGTCCAAGACGGAAAGTTCACAGAAGAGTAAGTAGAAGATCTGAATACAGCTGTGCATGGTTCATCGGGCACAGGGCACTGGGGACAAGGACAGCTTGGTCCCCCACCCCCGGGGCCCCTCTTGTGACTCCAGGCTGACCCCAGCATCACTCTTAATCCAGCAAAGCGCTCTCCGGAGCGCAGGTGCGAGAATGGTGTGCGCAGGGCACGGCCTCTCACGTGAGGAAAAAGGAAAGTGTGTACAGATGCTGGAGAGACAGTCGGTGAGAAATCACAGGAATTGATTACGGTTCCTGGGGCAGAAGGGGGCCCGGGTGCCTCGGTGAGGCCCGTTTCTACCCTCCTGGCCGCCGAACAAGGGAATGCATCACTCATTCACAGCAATAAAGACATAAACTTCACAAATCATTAACGATGTTGCTTGCACAAGGACGGTCCTGAGTGGACCACGCTGGAAAAAGACAGAGACTCCGAAGAAACTCAAAGCCATGTTTGCACAGACACCGTAGGTGGGTGAGTGCTCCCGATCCGCTCCCGGGTCCCTACCTTTCTTGTTGAGTTGCAGGACGGAAGGGGGAGGAGTGGCCACCTTCATGGCCAGGCCGTAGGCCCCTCGGAAGGAGTGACTATCCCTGACAATGAATGAGCCAGGCTCCTTGTCCTTCAGCATGGCGATGGCTGGGGAGGGAAGCAGAGACACACACGTTTGCCGGGGTCCACACGGCCTGCCTGCAGTGCTTTTGCAAACTGGGTCGGAGGGAGCAGGCCCAGGTCCCTTGGGGGTGGGGTGGGGGTCTCTGTGACGATGCATCATTTTCAAGGGGGGCCTGGCTGCAAAGGAGCCCCCCCACCCCAGAAGGCACACAGGGCTCCTGCTTGCCCCACAGCACCCGTGAGGGACAGGGGAGGACCCTCAGCTGACCGCCCAGGAACTGGACCCACCACCAGCCCAAGTGCCCGGCCAGGTCCCAGTACGCACAGCGTGGCGGGGCAGGAGGCGAGGCGTGAGGTTCTCTCCGGGCCCTGCTGTGGCCCCGCCTGGTGCCCCCTCCCAGCACAGCATTGTACTTAGACATTTTAGAGTGTGCCCTTCCAACCAAGCAGAGGGAAAGATTGAAAGGATGGACCTAAAAAGTTACTGAATGTTTAACGCAAATCCCACAGTTCACCCCAGGGGATGGCAAAAATGTGGCCGTAAGTGGCCCTCCGTCCCGTGGCTCCGTGGCCGACTGCATCCACCCTGGATGGGGCTGTGAGTGCCCTACCCAGTCAGGGCTGATGGCTGGGCCTGGCCGACCTGCCCTCCCATCTTCCCTACCTGAGGCTGGGGGGCATTTAGCTAATAATGGTTTTACAAATAAAATTCCTGCCCTCCACTCTCCAAGCGGGGCCTGCCAGGTGGGGAAGGCACAGCTCTCTGGAAGGGGGGCGGGTTTGGCGTAGGCCTGCGAGGGCCTGCGCTTGACCCCGAGGGCCATCCACACGGGCGTGGGGGCTGGTGGGGAGGCGGGCGCACGCGGGCACCAGCAGGCCCGTTGGCGGCAGGTGTCGGGGGGCTGACCGTGCATTATTCTGTGGCCATAGGGAAAAGACCTCTGATAGAATTGCATGTTTTCAGTCGTGACATACCTCACCAGCGCTTTTGGTTTCCCCTTTTAACGTCGTGATCTTATTTTGCTGGGGGGGTGGGGGGTGGGACAGAAGTGCCCCAGTGTCATGGCCACAGACGGAGCGGAAGCCGGGGCTGCCCCCCCGGGAGGGGAGATTGGGGTTAATGTCAGACCCTGTTCTGAAACAGAATGAGGGGGACCCATCCCACAGGACGATGATCCCACAGGATCATGTTCCCGTGAGGCCGGTGGAGTCAGTGGCCACGTCCCCACGGCTCCCTCAGCTGGTGTCTCCAGAGCCCACCACCCCTCATGTGCTCATCAGGTGCCTCCCACGGCGAACCCTCCAGAACCCGGCGAGGTTGGATCCGCCACATCTGTCCTGCAGGGACCGCCTGGCGCTCGCCATCTGCCTCGGAAGTGGAGCCCCAGTCCGGCAGCCCCCACCCAGCCCGCCATCCCGGGCCAGATGCCACACCGGTGGAGTACGTGGTCTGCACAGAATTTTCTAGAACATGTCACAGGCCTTTCTCAGTCCCCCCAGCTGGACGAGGTGCTGGGGTGCTGGGCTCACAGCCTCCATCCCGTGCCGTGGGCAGGGAGGGGACAAGAACGGGGCACTCGGCCACGCACAGCCCGGACCCGAGCTGAGCAGCATGACCACAAAGCCCAATTCAGGGAATCGGAGGTCTCTCCGGGCCGCGGGCTTCCCCCACGAAACATGACAATAGGTTCCTTGAGCTCAGGGGAAGAAAGGCGCATTCTTACCATTTTTATGAGCTACTTAATTGAATAGAAAAATTCCAAAGAGAAAGCTGAACAGTGCTGTTTGCCAGCCACTTAACTCTTTCTTTCCAGCCAGGTTGGGAAGTAAGCCTCAGGACGACACCGGATGACTTTCTACCCGAAGCTGTCAGCCGTGCGGGCTGCACGGGGGGCCACGCCGTGCATCCCTCCTCCCGGATCCAAGGCACGCTGTCCCCGGCCCAGCCCCACGCCCGCTAGCAGTCCCCGGGTTTCCTCTGGGAGCACCTCCGGGGAGGACCAGCATGTCGCAGCGACCCCGCGAATCTGCAGGACGACAGCTGCTCGCCCCCAGGGCTGCCTCGCGGGGCCACCTCCCTCCTGGACCTGTCTTCTATTCGTCCTCCGGGAAGAAGTGGCATTAGCTCCTCAAACATACTACTGAGGTCAGATGTCTGCTGGCCGCCCCAGGCACGCAGACACTGCACAGCACGTGTGCGAGGCACGCGGCCCCTCGGTAAGCATGTGTCTGTCCGCCGTGGACAAATGCAGGTGCACAGATACCAGGGTGCTGGAGAGACCGCTGTCCTTCCTCCTGGCCGTCGGCCCCTGCAGCTCAGGGCCTGGATGGCGACGGGGAGCATCTTCCCGGGACAATCTGTTGCATCTTCCACAGGGGTGTATAACAAAGTGCAAGCCTTGCCCTAACCCTTCATCCCGAGGCCGTGACCCTCGGACATCCCCACCCCGGGCTCCCGTCCTGCCCACGCACCTTGCTCTCTGGAGATATCCGCCTTGTACCAGAATTTGGATGTGTCTTGGACAAAGTTCACAGACACATGCTTATCACCCGGATTATCTGTAGAAGAGAATGTAAAAACAGTCACCCTGGACATTTTATTGCAACCTCTCGCCTCGCACAGAACCCAGTGCTCAAAGTCCAACCCAGGGCGAGGACTGTGTGTCTCGGGGAAGAGCGCTCTCTCTAACTCCGTGGGAACCGGCTGGGGGGCGCGACAGGGAGCAGGTGCTTCTCGACCCACACAGCACAGACGGGGCGCGACACGCGGCCGGCACCGGGCGGCTCTCCACAGACAGAGCAGCGCGGTGTGGCTGAATCGTGTGAGGATCTTATTCGTACATGTTTGAAATACTGCATTAAATTGAATAAATTCGCTGAATTGAGAAAAGAAAGGTTACTTTTGAAGAACGAGGATTGCAAGTGGCGGGAGAAACAGAAGCCGAAGTGGGTGAGTGGAGAGCAGAGGGGAACGGAGGACACGAGGGGAAGACCCCGATGGAAGGCTCTGGGCTTCGCTCTCAAGGCGCCGCCCGGGAATCCCAGGGTGCCCCCCTCTGCTGAGTGAACGCACGTGGGGGCACCCACCACCGCCGACACGCACCTACCTGGGGAGGGCGCTGCAGCCTCCAAAGGCTTGGGGAAGTCCGGGAGGACGTTTGGGAACGGGATGCTCATGGTGCTCCCGCTGTGCGGGCTGGAGAAGCCGCTCGAGGACGGGGAGGCCGAACCCAAAGACCGGTCCCCCTCTGAGGCTCGCTTCTTCTCAGGAAGGGGCGGCTGCCCGGGCAGGGTCAGGCCCTGGCCCGGCAGGACCGGGCTGTGGTGGCTGCCATGGCCAGGCGTCATGAGAAAGCCGTGGGACAGGAAGCCGTTGTCGGCCACTGCTGTTGTCCGCGGGGTGCCAGGGGCCTGGGGTGCTCCGTGGGAATGAGCCAGCAAGGCGCCCGGGTCCTCCCCGGGGGGAAGGCCGCTTCCCACGGGGGCCGTGCCGAAACTCAGGAAAGCCTGGCCACTCGGGGGGCCCAGAGCTTCAGGGGGCTCCACCAGGGACAGCTCGTGGTTGTGGAAAGAGGCCTGGAGCTCCGTGGGCGGGAGGTGGGGCCGCCCGGGGCCGTCGGGGCTGGGGCTGGGAAACTCTCCGGAGCCAAGGAGGCTTCCTGCCGGCCGGCTGCTCCCCAGCAGAGCCAGCGTGGCTTTGGGGCTGCTCTCCACCCACGGGAGCTCGGCAGACGAAGGGCTGTGGGAAGGACACAGCAGTGAGAACGCCCGGCCCTAGAAGACGCCCCGAGATCGGCAAGGGTCCCCCAGTGCTCTGGTGATATCCTTCCTCGCTCTTCACCCAGCAAAGCCCCTTCCGCTCCGGACAAAACTCAACCACCGCCCGTGTCCAGCTCACCGCCCACGTCCCCATGTCCCTCCCTCCGAGGTCAACCACACGGTTCACCGTATACCGGCAGAGCGTCGTTCCCTGGGCACAGACCGTGTCCCCCGCTTTCTTCGTCCTCCTCCCCCGAGAGCTAACATGGGGGCCCGACTCAGTTTCCACTAAGTGCTCGCTGGAAAACCAGCTGATTATGGGATCCCAGTAAGAACAGGCGAAGTTGGGGCGCCTGGGGGACTCAGTGGGTTAAGCAGCCGGGGCTTGATCTCAGCTCAGGTCTTGACTCAGGGTTCTGAGTTCAAGCCTTGCACTGGGCTCCACGCTGGGCGTGGAGCCTACTTAAAAAATAAAATACAGGTTGTTTAAAAAAAAAAGATCACGAGAAGTTCCCATATCCAAAACCGGGATTTCCCAGATCAAGGGTATCAGAAAGTCCTGCAGGATTAGAAATCCAGAAAGTCAGCCGCCAAGCCATCACATCACGCACACCTCACTAACAAACACTTTGTGCTCTGTGTGGGACGTCCTCAGCTGAGCCCCACCCCTTGCAAAGAGTCAGGAGGCAGGATGCGGAGAGTGAACTGGGACGCCGTGTCCTTGCCCAAGGGAGCCGCTCAGGAGCCGTTCCTACGCTGGGCCCATGCAGCGGCTCGGTGTCTGCATCCCCCCTTTCTGCTCTCCCAATCCCCCCGAGGGGTGCCCCCGCACTTTCCCGAACACCAGCACAACCTCCACGTCCCCAGGACCACCACCATCCTGCCTGCCTGCCCCTCCGCCCAGTCTGGAGTTGGCCTGGCCTGGCCGCCAAGGGAGACTAAGCCCCGGCCAGCCCCCCACATCCCTGATCCAGCCTCAGCTCAGAGCACGTGGTCACAGACACCCGGCCCTTAACTGGCCCCAGACTCCACCTGCCAGTGTGGTCCCTGAGTGCTCAGCCTGTCAACACTGGGGGTGGGGGCGCACAGTCTCCGGAGTTTGTATCTGTGATTACATTTCTGAATCAAGAGCAGCCGGGCGTCAGCTGCAGGTGGAGCCCCCCGCCCTCCCCTCCCGGGGTCCACGGTCAGGGTCTTCGGGAGCAGCCTGCGCTGCTGCATTCAAGGGCCCGTCTCCCTACCTGTCCCGCTGCTGGCCGGGGCTGCTGCTGGAGATGGTGCAGGAGGACGTGAACGCCCGCTGAAAGGCAGGTGCCGCCAGCATGTCGGTCCGGAGCGTCGCGGGTTTGGGCCCCACGGGGCTCTCGGACATCCCCACCGTGCGATGCAGGATCTCAGCGCAGCCTCGAGTATCTGCGGCAGAGAAAGCAGAACAGAGATCCGCTTACAGGCCTGGTCTCTGTCCTGGAAGGAACGGGGTCACTCCTGGAGATGCGTGCCACAGGCGAGGGGCTGGATTCCACCACGGGCGGGTCACTCTTGCCCGGCACGCTCCCCAAACGCAGGACACAGAACACAGGGCTCGCGCCCGGCTCCAGCACGCCAGGTGGGCTGAGGAGCGTCTTGCAAGCTCGTCTGCAAGGACAAGGGCGTGGAGCACACACAGTGTCACCCCCTGAAGGCCTGTGTACTTACGGATGGACCTGCCCATCCTGCAGGCCAGCTCTCACTTTAGAAAGGGCCAAGCCTTCTCTCTGCACACCAGCAGGAGACGATCCACAGAAAAGACCCACTTTCCAGAAAGAGCAAGCCCAGGGGCTGTGGCTGGGTGGGCGCTTAAGCTCCATCTGTCCCCAGCGGGTAGCTCGGCCCACACCCTGGACCACGAGCTTTCCAGTAAACGTCCCACCTCCAACATGGCCCTGCTGGCTGGTGTCCTTGCCCCCGAAAGGGGCACAGACCCTGGTTCAGCCTGTCACTCAGGGCGTGCGGTCAAGCACCATGAAAACCAGCTGTTTAACACCAAGTCCACACGCTCCACCGAATTTTATACATTTCCCTGACAAAATGCCCATCTGCTTGAGGCCCAGCATCATCATTATTTCTGGATATTTTTTAAATTTTGCCTTTTTTAAAAAAACAAAAAAACAAAAATACTTAGCTTTAAGAACTGGGCAAATCTACCAGGGTCAATAAAATAACATTGTAAGAAATACAGGTTATTTTGGTTTCTGCTTTAGAACAAGGGAGGGTGGATAAAAGCATGATGAAGTTTTTAAAAATTCCACATCATTCATATTACTCATTTCCAGGAAAGGGGCAGCATTAAGGTGAGTCACACATCCCGGCCACAGACCCATTTGGCAGCACGTGGATTAGAGGCTGGACCTAAGCCCGTGGTCAGGGCTGTGGAAATCCCACTGATGATCTGCAGAGATAAAAACTGAGGCTGAGCTATGCAGGCAGCCAGGACTTGAGGAAAGTGAAGAACCATTCTGAGCACAGCCTCCCCTGCAGGCGTTTCTGACTCCTTAGCTCGGAGAACAGAGCCAAACTCCTGGAACTGAGACGGAAGTGGCTGAGAAGCCACAGAATAAGCAGGGATTTGGGCAGTTTCATGGTGGGGCCGAAAAACAACCGGGGAGCCCAAGGCACTTACCTAAGATTCAAGGTGAGGCCCCTGAAGGCTACATTGTAGGGATACCAGGGCCAGAAACAGATGAGCCTCCCCCCCACCCCCGCCCCGATCTCAGTAGTCTGCCCCAGAGAAAATCTTCCTCTGGAAGTAAGTATCACCCTCCAAAGCCTGCCTCTATTATAGATCGATCCATCCATCCAACCATCCATCCACCCACCTACCTACCTAACCATCCACCCATCTATCCACACACTTGATCATCTAGCATCCATCCATCCTTCAGTCATCTATCCATCCACCCATCCATCCAGCCACACACCTATCTATCTACCATCCATCTAGCCACCTACCTAACCATCCACCCCTGCATCCGTCTAATCATCTATCATCCATCCATCCATCGATCATCCATCCATCCACCCATCTATCATCCATCCATCCATTGACACACCTATCTACCATCCATCTATCCACCTGACTAACCATCCATCCACCCCATCTATTTATCTATCATCCATCCATCCATCCACCCATCCACCCATCATCCATCCAACCATCTACCTACCTATCTAAACATCCATGTGTCCACCCATCTAATCATTTATCATCCATCCATCCATTCATCCACCCATCATCCATCCATTCACCCAACTATCTATTTATCTATAATTTTCAGACACAATTCAAATATTTAATTTAAAGAACTGACCTGGCATGCTAGTAACAGGTACCAGAACAAAGAAATGAAAACAAAGGGAAAAAAAGAGAAAGAAGAAGAACAGCTACAGCTGTATATGCATTGGAGTTAAAAGACACACACTTGAAAATAGGTAAACGGAAAACGTTTCAGAAAAATATAAGAGAATTTCACAGAAGAACTGGAGTGCATTAAGAATAATCGAGTGGAAATCCTACCATGACGTGAAAATAAAATTAATGAAATGAAGCAGGAGGCCAACGATTCCACCAGCAGATGCATGGTGAAGGCGCTGGTGCTTGAGCTGGGGGTAAGTCAGAGGAGTGCCAAGCCAGGAAAGGCACGGAAGACAGGGAAGGGAACGACGCCACGTGGGACATGGTGAGGAGTTCTAACACACACACAACGGGGGCCAAGGAGGAGCGGAATGAAGCCCAAGCAAGCCCGGGAACGGTATTTACTGAGAATTCCCCCCACACACTGAAGAAATCAAGCCATGGTTTTAGGAAAAATCCATGAAACTGAAGCAAGATAAGTAAAAAGAAAACCATACACATTCACTCAATAGTAAAAGTGATGAAAATCAAAGACCAACTTTGAAACAGAACCTTGTCCAGCTGGGGAGGAAGCAGGGAGCCAACTTCAGTGTTCATCTTTTAAACACTCAGTAAACATGTCTTTACCGAATAGCCCAGCGCTCACGTCGTGTCCGTACAAACCGCACCGTGCATCCCCGGGCACGGGCACTGCCCCCAGCGTCCACGCTGACGCCCGTGGTCAGCACCAGGGCCGCGTCTGATCCACACGCACACCTCCTGCACCTCCAAAGCCCTGGGGCGGCGTGGTCTTACTCCCAGTTGGGAGGCGCGCCGCACGCCAGGATGACCTCCCACAGGACACCTTCTGAAACACACGTTTGTTGCGTGCGTGGGGGGCTCCGTCGGTGGCTCAGTCCAGCTCTTGGTTTTGGCTCAGGTCAGGATCTCAGGGTCGTGAGATCGAGCCCCGCGCCAGGCTCCACGCTGAGCAGGGAGTCTGCTTGAGGATTTTCTCTCTCTCCCTCTGCCTCTGCCCCTCCCCGCTCTCTCTCAAAATAAAATAAAGTTTGTAAATAAATCAGCCAACTGGATGGGCTGCAACCCCACCCTCCAATCCTGTCAAGTGAAGCTGGGATGGGAAAACAAAGACTCGAGGTGCTTCCCTCCCCCTGCAATTGTCTTCTTGGTAGTAAAACATCCTCAGTTAGTGCATCCCCGTGTCCATTTCCCACGTAAGATGGAGCTGCTGAGCGCCAACCACCTGTGAGCACGGCGCTGGCTGCTGGCCTCCAGGTGAGCGTGGTGCCAGAGGTCAGCCTGTGGGCTTCAGAGGCACCTGCAGGAGACTCTCCTTCTGCCTGGGGGGGCGTGGAGCTGGAAGGCTTCCTGGAGCAAGCCCATTCAATGGGAGCCTGGAAGTACGTGGGTTTCCAGTAACCTAAGTGGATGCCATGGGAATGAGTGTAACATCCCAGGGCTCTGTGCTCCCAGCGGGGCCCCCACCACCGGGCTGGCGCTCCTGGGAGCTTCTCGCACCTGCTATGAATTAATGAATGAGTTTGCAGGGGCTCAGCAGTGAAAGGGAGAAGTCCAGGGCAGGATGTGGGTCTGGCCCCGAGGAGTCAGGGTGGATGTCCTGATCACCCCCGGGCCAAGGAGCAGCGCTGAACTTCGGGGTCAGAAGGGCTCTTTCTCAGTCAAGCCCACAGTGGGTGACCGATGGTGCTCTCAGGGGTCCTGCTACAGCCACGGGGGCTGCCCGCTCCCATGTCCCTGGGTCACGGCGATCCTGGGAATCCCATGCCACGCCCGCATGGCGCCTGAGATCACCACCAGCGGAGAAGAGGCAGGAGGGAAATAAGGTCCTGCTTTGTCCCTGTTACCCTGTCCCTGTTCCAGAAAACAGCAAGCTCAGCGCTCCCCATGAAAGTGGCTTTGTTCACAACTCTGCACCAACGCTGGGGCCATGGCTGGATTTGGTTCCCTGCCCCGGGCGACAGGACTTAATTAACCCTCAATCTGGACAAGGGCCAGCCAAGGACCTCGGTGCGGGGACACTGGCTTCCCGGCCCCTCTGTGTGCTCAGAGACACTGCAGCCCCCTCCATCCACCCAGCAGGAGCGGGGCCTCAGGGCGAAGGGGCACGGCCTCTGTCCTCAGACACGCAAGGCACTGGAAACTCGAGTCCAAGCACAGACACATGCTCAAAGCCTCCGCGTGGACGCTCGGCATTCATTCCAGGAAGGGCACGCCGGGAGGGCAGACGGAACACGTGTGGCCGATCCCGTTCACCTCGCCCATCTGCTGTTCAGTTACGCGGACGCCTCTAAACGGGCTGTCCCTGGGCCCAGCCCCTGTTCCGTGCGCTCGGCGTCCGCAGGCTCAGTCTGGGCCCAGAAGGAGGCCCAGGGGTGCCGTGAGGGCCATCGGGAGCGGGCGAGGTGTCCTGTCTTCGAGGGAGCCTCGCGGTGACACGGTGGCAGCTTCGCTCTGCGGCAGGGTTTGTGGCTGCCTCAGAGGGAGCGTGGCCAGGCGGGCTCTCCTGTGTCCCGGGGAGCAGCCGGCCTCAAGCACTTCTCTCTGGGGCCACGGCCCCCCGGCAGGACGTGTCCACGCATGGGGGCCGCTGTGGGCTCTGCTCCCGCCAGGTCCCCGGCGTCCCCCAGGCAAACCAGGTTTGTGTTCCTCCTGACAGATTCTCACATTTCCCCTTCCCAACGGACACCCAGAGGAGGAGGCGCAATCTGGTCAGTGTTTGGAAAGGAGGCCCCTGGCTTCCTGGTTTCCTCGGCCAGCTGGTGTTCTGGCGCCCGCAGGGACGGAGGACCGGGGGGCCGGGAGGGGGGGGGGGAGTGTGCCTCTCTCCTTCCAGGGCTCCCAGACCTTCCAGGACCTTCCGGGCCCAGGCTCCCCTTGGCTTCCCCTTCCTGCACTTCCTTTACCCAGAGCAGGGGTGACGGAGGGTCACAGGCTCTTTTCCAAAAGGTCTATTTTTAGGCCACGTTGGAGCTGCTGCAGGAGGTTCCGTGGGAAGCGGGGT